GGGCCTAACGCAAATTCAACTTAGCACCCATTGTTCTACTGAATAACCCCTAGGCCCATTTAGCATTTCTTTTTGTTTTGTTTTAATTTCTTTTATTTTCGTTATTTAATTTAACAAATAATATAAAAAAATCATAAAAATAATAGGTTAGTTTCTTTTTTAATTAAACTATTTTTCGAAATTAATTATTAATTCAACTTTAATTTTTTTCTTTAATTTAAAAATGAGTTGGAATTTAGGATTTAACTTATGTTTTAATCATTTTATTTTCATAATAAAAATTGCAAAAAAAAATTAGGATAAGTTAGAATAATTTTTAATTAATAATTTTCTCTTTCTTTTAATTAATTAATTAGATCTAATTTATGTTTCAATATTTTTTTAATAAAAAATACAAAAATATATTAGGATTAGTTTTTCTTTTATAACCTAGATTAATTCTTCCATTTAGTATTTATTTTTTTTCTTAATTAAATTTAGAATTATTTTTTCTTTAAAAAAAAACCAAAAAAGACTTTCATTCTTAGGATTTTTTAGACGTAATATTTCATTTGACGCGTATTATTTTTATTCTCGCATTTTATATAATAATGTGACTGATTGTGGGATGTAATAGTCTAGATTTAAAATTCCACACTTCATTTTTGCACTTTTTTATGTAACTATCCCGAAGCCCTGTAATAGTTGTAGGACTTTATTTCTCGCTTTTACATTTCTTATATGCTTGTATGTAATTGTTAGTAACTTAGGCGTGCATGACAAGATAAAGTCAATTAATCGTTAGATCACTAACCTCGAGATAATACAACTGAAAAAACACACTTATCACACTTGCATCCTTAGGGTATTCCTCATTTGGTTACCTCGGAAAATAATGGTCATGTCCCTTGAACATAGGGATATCTTAGCAAAGACCCTCGGTACTAAAGTCATCAAAAAGATCATGGTCCCTAACGTCCCTCGAGTTTCCTACGAGAAATGATCTTATCCCTCGATGTTGCCTATATAATGATAGTCCCTTCGAAATGCTAAGATATCCTTACATGTTGCCTTCAATGACCATAAACGTCCCTTTTGATAGTCCCTCAACATCCGATGATAGGGCTACCTACTCACTAATAGTAGGATAGCACTATCTAAAGGAAAGGAGGAAAAAAACATCTTTTTTCGAGTAGGTAGATTATTCTTAAGTACTTGTTCAAATCTGAATTTTTCACACTTACACACTTTTCAAAAACTATTTTCAAAAAACGCTTTATCACACTCTTGAGGACTGATACAAGAGTTACCATAAAGCAAACAAAAATCTTTCAAAACACATAAACACAAACAGTTTTCAAAACCACGAATGAAAAGGGTGCTAACACCTTCCCTTTTCATAATCTACCCCCCTTAGAAAATCTCGAAAAAGGTCTTTTTCTGTTCTTTTCACCCTTTCCTTTCTTGGATAAAAGAAAAGCCGGTGGCGACTCTTGTTTACCGCGACATTTGCGAACAAAAAACGCAAACTAGTATTAGCAGTCGGTTCTGCAACCGTGTCACAATAGGCGAGGCATATGAGACATGAGAAGATAAATTTTGAAAGCTTATAAAGAGTTGTTTATGCACTTTCCAAAAATACAGATCTTGTTTTTTTCTAGCGTTACTCTTTGATTTGAAATGAATGAGTTGTAATGCATCATAACTTTACTTCTTTGAGATCTTATGAGAATATTATCATTGAGACTTTAGAACCTCGGAGTTTCTTGATGATTAGAACTTGGATGAGACAGACACGTTGAAGCTTCTTTGCATTTATCATAATACTTACTTATTAGAGTATAGCTTGAGCTTAAGTCTTGAATCTTTAGAACTTTTATATAGATGAGTGCGTTGAGACTTCTTTTGTTCTTCCAAAATTTCACTTATCAGAGTATCATGATTTTTACTTGCAACATTGGTGCTTCAAAAGTTATAACATCAGAACTTCTTCTATTTGAGCGTCTTACATGGATTTGCTTCTAAGTCTGTACGTTGTGTCTAATCACCTTTGAGAGGAATGTCATGATGACAATGACGTCATTACATGATGCTAAATAGGAGAAGGCAAAAATGTCCCTCTCTCATTACCAGTCGAAAGAGGTATTTTGGGGGGAAATTTGTTAGCTAGGATTTTGACAAAGGCAAAATCTAGCTAAGAAAAATAATATGGACGAAGACGACACGAAGAGTGTAAGAGAGAGGTTGATCAGGAATGTGGGTTTAGAATAATTTTCTGAGAAGAAAGAGGGTCAAGTCGACAGAAGGCACAACGGTGATATGATGATCATGTTTGTGGCAGGCAGTTGGGAAAAGGCGAATATGAGAGAAAGGTTGTTCGCTAGTGGGCTTGAGAACGTGGAAACGTGCAAAAGAAAAGAGAGAAACTGGAAGATACATGACGCCTGGAGAAAAGAAGCCAACTAAAGTGTTGGGAAAAAACAAACCATAGAAGAAAAAAAATAGGAACATAATAACAACACAAGAATATAACGTGGAAACTCCAAAACCAGAGAAAAAACCACTGTCAACGTCAGATGACAACCATAAAATAACATTATATGAAAATTGTTATAACATATAATATACTCTTAACTAACCCAAACTCCCAATACATCAACACCCTCCAAAACAAATATTTAACTACATCTCACAACACTCTAATACAAGAGCATGAGAGAACAAAGAAAGTCAAATACAAGCTTAAAGTGCTTTTGACTGATGCCTCTTGTAAAGAAAAACTTGAATCATATATATAGTTTTGGACTCCCTCTTCATTCACTAAACTAAGCAATGTGGGACTTGAAAAAACTTTAATCCTATATATAGTCTTGGACTCCCTCTTTCTTTACAAAATTAAGCGATGTGGGACTTCTTCGACATGTATATTTTCAACCAACCCCAACAATCTCCACCTTGATTGAAAATAATACATTAACTTTCATTGTCTTCACCGATAATCATACTCCACCATAAAGAGTATAGTCACTTGAAGCTACATCACTCCAAGAATTTTCACATTGTCTTCACTTACAATCATATTTTTTAAAACTATCATACTCCACCTAAAGAAAAGTATACTTCACTTGAAGGTAAATCACTTCAAGAATTTTCACATGCCAAAAATCAGGTTGAAACTTTATGGTGCAACTTCTATGTTAGTAAGAAGCTCTTCAACCATCGACATAATCTTGCACCTTGTATAATGTTGATTGTATCAACACGTCTTTAACTTGAACTTTCCACAAGTCAAAAACAATTCTTCCATCAATTTTCTCTAGTCAAAACTGCACGGCAGAATTTGTGACTACAGCTCAACAACTCTTTCACAATAATATCCTTCTTTTCTGATGTGAAAGATTAGACATAGTTGCAACCACAAAGCATACTAAGAACTCCTATCTCTGGATAGAACCAGAAGCTCTGATACCAGTTGTTGGAAAAAAAATAAACCATAGAAAAAAAATAGGAACACAATAATAACACAAGGATATAATGTGGAAACTCCAAAACGGGAGAAATAACCACGACCGTTGTCAAATGACAACCATCAAATAACAATGTAAAAATTTTTACAACACATAATATACCCTCAACTAATTGAGATCCTCATTACATCAACACCCTCCAAAACAAATATTTAACTACATCTCACAACACTTTAATACAAGAAAATAAGAGAATAAAGAAAGTCAAATATAAGCTTAAAGTGATTTTGACTGGTGCCTCTTGTAAAGAAAAACTTGAATCCTATATATAGTCTTGGACTCCCTCTTCATTCACTAAATTAAGCGATGTGGGACTTGGAAAAACTTTAATTCTATATATAGTCTTAGACACCCTCTTCCTTTACAAAATTAAGCGATGTAGAATTTCTTCAACATGTATATTTTCAATCAACCCCAACACAAAAAAGTTGTTAGTTTCCGTACTATAAATAAGACATTATAAATAGTTTTAAGGGGATTCAAACTTATTCAAACCTTACGCAAACACTCAGAGTACTCAAGCTAGTGAAATGAGTTGAGCAATGACAATGTATGTTTGAATCACCGATTTTTTTCCATTTTAATATCAAGCAAATTTACTTTCAACTTTATTTAAGTCTTGCAAATTTACTTTATCATTCAAACCTTTCCATTTTTTAACCAACATCATTATCATTTTACAAAACAAGTATATTTCACACCGTGCCGAAATCATTTATTACATCTCATTTCAAAAACACTTTGAAATTGAAGCATTATTCTGAGATTCACTAATCGATCTCACAAAACAACCATTAACAAGATACTAGCGTTGTTTACTAATTTTCAGGATTAATAACAATATAAAAACATTTTCCACCGGCAGCAATAATATGCTTGTAGAAGCAAACACAACACACTCAATATGCAGAGACGATAAAAAGGAAAGATCACTTTGTGGTGAAATTCCATGGAGAAAAGTATAACTGAACAAACATGAATTTCTTTTTATGTTTATATGAATGTTATACTTTCAAGAATAGATAGCAACGGAAAATAAAGAAAATAAATGCACAATTGGAGGTTACTAAATTACCATTGATATAATATAATTAAATAATGATAGATAATGGATAGTAACAGTTAGGAAATGGTAGAGTAGAATACATTCTCATGATAGTATACAAACTTATACGGAATATGGAATGATTTGAGAAATTCTACGGTGGAAATATTCTGATTTGGAAACATGACATATAATTTGATGAGATGTCAATAATGTGACCTGCGTTTCTGTTTTAATAAATTATAATAGACAAGCATAAAGCTTACATACAAACTAGTTACAAAGCTAGAGTTTGCAATTGCTTCATTCAATAACATATTGAAGCTGAAATCAGCTATAACTCTTGAGCCTTGAGTACAGTATAATATTGTAATTAGCACCTAACGTGAATAAAAAGTTCCTATAGGTTATCTCTACAAACACTCTACAACATCCATGTGGTATCCTAACTATTGCCATCGTTTAGAGGATCTTGCCGAAGCTGCAGAAGAGCTACCGACTGTCGGTTTTTTAATACCTGCATTTGAGAAAAGAAATGAGAAGAAGAACAGCCGAGGGAGATATAATATGGAGACATAAGATAACAGAACAAAAGGATACGTACTTGATGAAACCTTTGAAGTGCTTTTGTTTAACGATAGCCTAGAAGTTTTTGTCGGCAGTTTTGGTTGGACTTGCGGAGCTTTGGGAATTCTTGATGGCATATTGGACCTGCATTCCATGAAAAATACATAGATATAAGGTCTGATTTCAAAGATGACTTGGTAAAAACTATGCACAAATAACTAGAGTTTGACATGAAAAAGCATGGTATGCTTAGAATAATAGAATATAGCCTTGAAAAGTTTATTTAAAAAGAGATAACTCACTTTTCCGCACTCTGAGATGGAAGTTTGTTGGATGTCATATCCTTAGCTGGTGGAGTTTCAGCTGCCATGTCAAGGTCAGGGAAAAGAGTGTACTCCACAATACTGCTGATTGAACCATCAGTTTCTGTTCCCATTGAAAGACCACCGTCAGATATGTCACTTAATCTCTCCTCCGAATCAGCATCTCCGAATCTTAAGAGTTCAATGTCCTCGTTGAAATTTTGATCAGCGTCTTCTCGAGCTAATTTCAACCGAAGGGAACTGGGCTTGTTCCTGAAATCATCCATTGATTGATGAGAACCAGCTTCCGAATGCTTATCACTGTACTCTGAGCCGTTATCCATGTCAGAAGCTGTTTTTTCATTGACCCCCAGGCTCCTTGTGCCGGAAAGTCTTGTGCTGTTGTGGGGAGTCCCTACGGAATGTCTCCTTGGGGATGATGGCAGGTGTCTTGGTGAGATCATTCCAAGTTTTGCACCATTATGATTAGACTTGAGCAACTGCAACCGCTCAATCTCTTCATCCTTCCTTGCCATAACTTCCTTGAGAGATGTCATCTGCAAGAACATACAAGTCAGTATGCACTAGGAAATGATACTACATCAATACCAGTTAAACCAGCTGTTTTCATTTTACAAGTATCATGCATGACTAGGACACCCAAAATCCCAGCTAACCACAAGATAACAACCCAATTTGTTTCCACCATGTGAAGTTGGGTGCACACATCAAACATCGCGGTAATGTCTTGTAATGAATTATATCTAAAGATTGGACTATCCTCCATTGTCCATTTTATCTAACCCTCCTAACCAATACTTATATGGATGGGTCTTCTCCACACAAGCTCAAACCACTTGAGACAAGATTCTAGTCTTTTCTACAATAAGAGCCACCTCTACTTTTTCTCTCATGACAACATTAATCATATTGGCTTTTTCTAGTTCTATTTCCCCAGCAGAACTTCCTGATCTGAACAATCTAACAAAGCACAACTGGATATAATTTTTCAATTCAGCACTTCAAGATGACCCATATGTACAGATACATTATCTATTTAGAATACAATCAAAAATAAAAATAACCTGTTCCATTAGTTCTCTCACATCCCTTCCCTCTTTGTTGCTTCGAGCCGCGCCTAACTCAACACCAGAAACTCTTTCAGCAAACTTCAAAGTGCTTATAGTTTCAGAGTATGAAGCAACATCCGGATTAAGCTGTACAAACATAAGGGTTTTTGCTTGACCGCCTGTAAAATATGAGTAATCCAGCTATTAAAACTCAGTAAAGCTACTAAAATCAAAACAAAAACTAATGGAACCAAATATAGTAAAATGGCAAGTTGATTTCAATAAAAGCAACAATTACCTAACGAACTCTGAAGGAGTTGAGTCAATTTGCTATTTCTATATGGCACATGTTGGCTCTTTTGAGACAGAGCATTTATTACATCTCCAAGTGCAGATAGTGATTTGTTTATATGCTGAGCCTCCTTAAGCCTATCTCCAGTTGCTTCAGAACGATCCACTCTTTCACTTCCCGCAAGATCTACAAGATGCAGACATCCACGCAACAGAGTGTTGGTCTTCACTTCCGTTCCTCGAACATGAATAGAGAGAACACTATCATATGATCATAAAATAAAATGAGTTTTGTGTCTCCATAATTAGAAAGTTAGAATATAGGAAAATCTAAAAGAGTGGAAATGTAACCTGTGTGATCTACTACTTCTTTCGTTTAGGGCTGTAGCACTAGTAGCCCGATTCGTCAACCCGGTGTTCATCAACTCAAGGACATCTTTCATAGACTTCACAGAATGCATACTCGCATCAGGAACAGCCAACCCATTTGGTTGGGTAGTATTCCAAATCCCAAGTGTGTGCAAGTCAAGGAAATGAAACTTCATATATTTTATTTTTAAACAAAGTAAATGGATGGTAAAAACAGCTGCATCAAAATAAACGGATAGCAAAAAAGTAGGAATCAATCAATTGCCAATATTATATGCCAAGTCTTTGATACATGTAATGTGAGTTTATATGCATAGTTGTATGACAATACATAACTGAATAAGAATGAAAACTTAAGTATGAATGAATAGTTGCATAATTTATAATAAAAAGGATTGTGGGGTCTGGGAATAAAAATGGAAAAGGATATCTCTTCTGAGGACCGTTGCTTGATAGTAAATCACGAACTTGTTCATTATAAATCTCAACCATTTGAACTCCAATTTCGTAAACAATTGAATTTTCCCTACTCTGGGAGATATGGAAAAGATCATGAAGTGCTCTATAGTTGACTCCCCAATCTGATTTTGATGATAGGTTAGGTCCACTCTAGAAGAAAAACAATTGTTAAGTAAACATTTAAAACCACATATCCGCTCGTGATATAAACAAAATATTAAGCATGCAAAATGTTACCATGGTATAAGTCTTTCCTGAGCCAGTTTGACCGTAAGCGAATATACAAACATTGAACCCATCAAGAACAGAACGAATTAGCGGTCGAGTGTCCAAGAATACTTCCTCTACAAAGAAAATTTTGATTCATAAGTTGAACATTACTATTTATAACATCTATGAAATAAGAATACTAATAATAATACTCATACGACAAAGAAAAGAAAAAAATGCAGCACCTTGACGCGCTGCTGGACCAAAAACTTTATTAAATTTAAAAGGCTTGCGGCTTTCTTTTCCTTGTTTAAGAGGATTGTTAATAATTAGTTCTCCGTTTTCACCAATAAACTCAACTGTTGTATGTTTCTGACTTTGCCCAGAAAGAAATGGTCTAATTCGACAATATACCCTGATATTTCCTATTCATTAATGGTTCAGAACAAAAGGAAATAATAAATCAGGTTAGCAAGCAAGAAAAGGGCTCACATTTAACCTTAACATTGAATACTACGTACCTTTCAAATCTTGAACTTCGTTATATAATTTCCTATTTTCTGTTAAAAGAACGTGATAATTATCAGCAGCCTCGGCTAGACCTTTGAGCTTGATTCCTGCATAAGAAATTACTGTTAGTACATCAAATTCATCATAAATAAACAATGGTTGTTAAAATCACAAGAATTTCAACTTTGTATCGCACCAAAGTACTTGTATTCCTCCGAGTAGCTTCTTTTTGTTTTTATCACTTCATCTTTGACAGATTTCATGACAGCTTTCAGTTCCTATAAAGAATCAAACTAGATAGTACATAGCATAACGTGAAAATTACCAACCATGCAAACAGCACAACAAAGAAACAAACCTTAAAAGCTCCAAATTGTTGATTTAAGAAACTTTGATAGGTATGCTCTTTATTCTTCCAATTCAAATATCTGGATTCCGAAAATGCCTCCAGTTCCTTCACTTGCTTTCTCGCATCAGCAAGATGAAATTTAAGTTCTTGTATCCTTTTCTCATATTCAGCTCTAGATTCAGAAGCTTGCAATTCTAACTGCAAAACATGTTCTTCATGTGATCTTTTTGCCACTTGCAAATCTTGTTTCAATGCAGCAATTTCAATATCACTGCGAACTTTGTCTTTCTTTAATTGGGAAAAATCCTGCTCTTCGAGTTTCTTCTTTTCCTCAAATTTAGTTTGTTCAAGCTGCAAAGAAAACTAAAGATACAAATGATTGTAGCAAGTTAGTTAACAGTAATCACATTGAAACTAAGAAAAAGTACCAGATTTGTAATTTTTAAAATCTAAATATACACTAAATATAAATCAACCACTTTGAATAAAATTTTAGACAATGTTAAAAAGGAACGCCTCTTTAACATACAAGCATCTCATTTTTTATCAAGGTAATAATATAACATTTTAATTTGTATAACCAGTTTACATAAAACTAGTTTTATGCCAATACATGCTTTACTGCATAAGACCCATGCAATACAAGTGACTTCCTATCATGTTTGTTAGATATCGGAATATTCCATATTATGTAAATAGAATATTCTATAAGTAATTAGGATATCATGTAAATAGGAAATAGAATATTATGTAATTACTATGGCATTTATGCCTCCTATTATATATAATGAGCTCCGATGTGTAATTCACACACACGGATTCAATCCAACCTTCTTCTTGTTCTCTCATTATTCAACATGGTATCTAGAGCCTAACAAGAGGCAACCCTAATCCGTGCTTTCACGGTAGATCCACTATCTATCGGCGCCAATTTTTTTTTTCGGTAACCGTGCTTCATCTCCGGTTTCCGATATTCCTTCTCAGATCCTCCATTTTTTTTTGTCACTTCTCTCACCGTTTTTGGAATCCATGGCCGCCGTTCCCCCTCCAAGGGCTGAGGCCCCTATTTTCACAAGTTATATCACTACTCCTCTTGCCGTTGACAAATTGGACGGTACTAACTATGATTCTTGGGCTTCCGACGTCAAGTTATGGCTCCGGGGACAGGCCTATGAAGATCACCTCACTACGAAGGCTGACTCGGTGGCTACCACTGATAGTGTTCGTTGGAAGAAAATTGATGCTCAACTCTCCAGTCTCATAAAGTCGATCATTAGTCCATCCTTGAAATAGATCTTTCGTTCTCATGAGACTTACGAATCTGTTTGGGCACAAGCTAAGATCCTTTATACCAATGATACACAACGCTTATATGGAGTGTGTCAAAATTTGCAGAATATTATTTCCCCTCGTCACCTCGATGGTTCTATGGTTGAATACTTGGGCCGTGTTCAAGGTCTTCTTCATGATTTCAATGCATTATTGCCCCCAGCTGCTACCACTGTTAAGGAACTTGAACAACGTCGATCCTTCTTCATGCTTCTAGCTCTGTATGGCCTACCTCCAGAGTACTCGTCTGTTCGCGATCAGATATTGGGGTCTCCTACAATCCCCACTCTGGATACTGCATGGTCTACTTTGCTGCGTGTCCCAGCAAAACCATCATCTGACGGCGGAGTTCCACCCACACCAGTTGATTCATCTGCTTTGGTTTCTCAAGGAGGTAATCGTCCTCCGGGTGGTGATCGTGGTCACTTTCAGAAGACAGGAAAGCCTCGTCCTAAGTGTGATCATTGTCATAAGCTTGGCCACACTATTGATCGGTGTTATGCTTTACATGGACGTCCCTCTCCTCGGACTGCCCACGTTGCCCAGACCGCTCCACCTCCACAGGCTGCTACTCCGACTGATTCTGCCACCTCACCTACTATCTTCAACGACTTTATCAAGTGGTATGAGGAGCGTCAGGCCGCTAGTTCCACTGCCTCTGTTGAGCACACGGGTAATTCTTTTGCTGGTCTTTCTCACTCCACATCTCTTGGCCCATGGATCCTTGATTCAGGCGCCACTGATCACATTACTGGTAATAAATTTCTTTTCTTCATTCTCTACTTCTGGTTTATTACCCTTTGTCACATTAGCAAATGGCTCCCAAACTCAATCTCAGGGTACCGGTACTATCCACCTTTTTACCTCGCTCTCCATTACTAATGTTCTTTATGTACCCGGATCTACGTTTAACTTATTGTCTCTAAGTCGTTTGACTCGATCTCTTGATTGTACTATCTCATTCACCAAAGATTCTTTTTTCTTGCAGGACCGGAGTTCGAGACGGATGATTGGCACCGGATGTGAGTCTAATGGTCTTTATCTTCTTCAACCATCTGCACATGTTGGTTCCGTGGTGGATTCTCCCCTCCTGGTTCATGCTCAGTTAGGACATCCAAGTCTTGCAAAGTTACAAAAGTTGGTGCCCAACCTTTCCAAGTTATCTATGTTGTCTTGTGAGTCTTGTCAATTAGGAAAACATGTTCGTAGTTCTTTTCCGAGTCGTGTCAATCGTCGTTCTAAGTCTCCGTTTACTCTAGTTCATTCGGATGTTTGGGGTCCTAGTCGCATTGTTTCCACTTTAGGGTCTAAGTATTTTGTTACCTTCATTGATGATTATTCTCGATGTACTTGGTTATTTTTAATGGAAAATCGATCGGAGTTATTTGCTATTTTTCAAACATTTTATAATGAAATCAAAAATCAGTTTAGTATATCCATTAGTACTTTGCACAGTGACAATGCTCGAGAATATTTATCTACTCAATTTCAAACTTTCATGGCTACTAACGGTATGCTTCATCAAACGTCTTGTGCTCACACACCACAACAAAACGGAGTCGCTGAACGTAAAAAGAGACACCTAGTTGAAACCACTAGGACACTCTTACTTCACAATAATGTTCCTCAACATTTTTGGGGTGATGTTGTCCTTACGGCTTGTTATCTCATAAATAGGATGCCATTATCTGTCCTCAACAATCAGACCCCTCACTCTATTCTATTTCCTCACCGGTCTCTTTACCCATTACAGCCTAGAGTCTTTGGGTCTTGTTTTGTCCATAATGTTAGTCCTGGGCTAGACAAACTCTCAGCTCATTATCATAAGTGTGTGTTCTTAGGCTATACAAGATCCCAAAAAGGATATAAATGTTACTCCTCGTCTCTTCGTCGATATTTCGTCTCTGTTGATGTCACATTCTTTGAGTCAGTCCCTTACTTTGGGACGTCTACAGGGTCTGAGTCCCTATCACCCATGTTTTCTTCATCTCCCACTACTGCCCCACCAAATGTAATTATGTCTCCTTTGCCAGCCAATCCACCCCCATTAGCTCCTTTGTAGGTTTATCGGCGTCGACCACGGTCACCTCCACTACCATCAACTAATGCAGAAATCACCATAGACTCCCCTCCGGATCCAACTCCTTCGTCCCCTCTGGTCCTGCCCCCTGAGACTGATCTCCCAATTGCACTTCGCAAAGGTATACGTTTCACTCGTAATCCATCTCCTCATTATGTTAATTTGTCTTATCATCGCTTGTCTTCTTTGCATTATGCTTGTATTTCCTCTTTGTCTTCTGTGTCTATTCCCAAGACTGTAGGTGATGCTTTATCTCACCCTGGCTGAAAACAAGCTATGCTTGATGAGATGTGCGCTCTTCAGAACAGTGGCACGTGGGACCTTGTTCCTCTTCCTCTTGGAAAATCTGTTGTAGGTTGCAGGTGGATTTTCACAGTCAAAGTTGGGCCTGATGGACAAGTTGATCGTCTCAAGGCACGTTTAGTGGCCAAAGGTTATACACAGCTGTTTGGCCTAGATTATGGTGACACCTTCTCTCCCATGACTAAAATGGCCTCGGTTCAATTATTTCTCTCTCTATGGCAGCTATTCGCCACTGGCCCCTTTACCAGCTTGACATCAAGAACGCATTCCTCCATGGTGATTTGTGTGAGGAAGTTTATATGGAGCAACCTCCTGGGTTTGTTGCTCAGGGGGAGTCTTCTGGACTAGTTTGTCGTCTTCATAAGTCTTTGTATGGACTTAAGCAATCTCCTAGGGCTTGGTTTGAGAGATTTAGCACTGTTATTCAAGAGTTTGGTATGACGCGATGTGAAGCTGATCATTCAGTGTTTTATCGTCACTCAGTTGTTGGGTGTATTTACTTAATTGTGTATGTGGACGACATTGTCATTACAGGTAATGATCATCATGGAATCACACAGGTAAAACAACACTTTTGTCATCATTTCCAGACAAAAGACCTTGGCAGACTTCGTTATTTCTTGGGCATAGAGATTGCCCAATCCAAACGGGGAATTGTGATTTCACAAAGGAAGTATGCTATGGATATTTTGGAGGAGACAAGACTGTTAAATTCCAAGCCAGTTGACACTCTGATGGATCCCAATGCTAAACTTATGCAAGCTCAGGGGGAGCCACTCTCCGATCCTGGAAAATATAGAAGATTAGTTGGAAAACTGAATTACCTCACTGTTACTCGTCCAGATATTTCATTTCCTGTTAGTGTGGTAAGTCAATTTCTTAACTCTCCTTGTGAAGGACATTGGGAAGTTGTGATTCGCATCTTGAAATATATTAAAGGAGCTCCAGGAAAAGGCTTACTCTATGAAGACAAGGGACACACTCGAGTTGTAGGAGACTCAGATGCAGATTGGGCAGGTTCTCCTTCTAATAGGAGATCTACCTCAGGTTATTGTGTTTTCTTGGGTGGTAACTTAATTTCCTGGAAGAGTAAGAAACAAAGTGTAGTGGCAAGGTCAAGTGCGGAAGCAGAATATCGAGCCATGGCAATAACAACCTGTGAGGTTATATGGCTTAAACAATTGCTTCACGACCTGAGATTCGGGGATGTTTCACAAATGACACTTATTTGTGACAATCAGGCAGCTCTGCATATTGCATCAAATCCAGTGTTCCATGAGAGAACCAAACACATTGAGATTGATTGTCATTTCATCAGAGAGAAGATTTTATCTAGAGATGTCAGCACTAGTTTTGTCAATTCAAATGATCAGTTAGCTGATGTTTTCACTAAGCCTTTGAGAGGTCCTCGAATTAATTATATTTGTAACAAGCTTGGTGCATATGACATATATGCTCCAGCTTGAGGGGGAGTGTTAGATATCGGAATATTCCATATTATGTAAATAGAATATTTTATAAGTAATTAGGATATCATGTAAATAGGAAATAGAATACTATGTAATTATTATAAAATGTAATTACTATGGCATTTATGCCTCCTATTATATATAATGAACTCCGATGTGTAATTCACACACACGGATTCAATCCAACCTTCCTCTTGTTCTCTCATTATTCAACAGTGTTAAATTATTTAATCACAGTATTTATTAGTTATTCCCTAAATTCAAGGACATTACTTAGAGATGCAACACAAATAAACCATGACAACGACAATGAAAATAAGAATATATTTACCAGAACTAAGGATCTAAATTTGATAATCTCATCCATTATCTTAAACTCAAAGATGGAAATTAAGATAGGTTTGTACCTTCAACTTCTGAACCCAACCTGTCACAAGCTGTAGAAAGCGAAGAAAACTTTTAAAATTTAAATAAGTAGACCATAATAGTATAAAACAGGAATCCAGATGCATCAACAAAGAAAATACCTCATTCTCTTCAGTTGTCCCTACCGCCAAGGTTTCAACCGCATTTAGTTTTGTTTGATACTTTCCCTCACGAGCCTTGAAAATATTGTTTTGCTTCAGGAATGCAACACGTTAAATTAGTCATTATTCAATAGAACTTATTAAACAAATACTTTTTGGCAAAACAAAGGTATAAAGAATTATGAACTTACATTTTTCATGCTTTCTGCTTGATTTGAAAAGCGTAACTCAATTACTTGCAGAATCTTTCTCAACAGGCATGCTGCACGCTGAGCCTAGAAACATATAAATAAATGGGAAATTGAACAACTGCACAGTGACCCAATCAAATTTCATTGTGCTAAACAAAGTAATGTAGTAACAGTGGGTATTTATTTATTGCAAAAGCATTTAGCCCACTTACTTGAGGTATATCTCCATTCTTCCTTTCAAAGATATCACTTAGGATCCTATTTAGTATGTTAAAAAGAAATCGAGATGAGATACTCTGCATAAAAAGATGTAACTAATATATTAGGGTTATAAATGAGCTAATGGAAACAAATCAAATGCATATACATATAAAAGTCAAAAGAATTATCTAATGACAAGAGAAGGAACAAAAAAAGGAACATTGATAGAGACAAACAGGTTAAGAATATTATTACTTACGTCCAAATTGTTTGATTTCAATAGTTCATTAAGTTTGGCATCTGAAAGATCCACGTGTAGTCCTTGTTTCAACTGCAACAGTTCATTAGACTTGAATCCAATATGATCAATGGAAGCAATTCCATCTGGATAGAGAGAAAAAAAAGCTACAATGTAATAAATAGCATAAAAATGTTTGAATGGGAAAAGAAACAGCATAATTAATCAGCAACTACAGCTGAGCCTTATCATATTAGGCAGGATCGAGATACACTGATCATGTAAATGAATGTAAATCGTGGTATTTTACAATGGATCATATACCTGATACAACAGAGTCATCAATAGCATGTTGGAAATTTGAAGCATCCTTGAGGCAACTATCAGTTTCAGCTAGGGATGTTAGGTCTGGCTGGTCCCATCTCTTTCTAGAATAACTTTGGACATTTTCACGTGCAGCATTATATACAAAGTGAGCTTTCAGATTCTCAAGGCACTGCAACACGGGCACCATCAATCCCTACAAAATTAAATAGTTAGTACAAAACTTAAATAGTGCGATAGAGAAAAATGGAATCCCAGAGTCATGTTTAGACAGAGCCATTCCGTTTCTATCAATATTCACAGTACACCCAGCCTGAGCTCGTATAAAGATGAGTACTAATCCAACAACAACAACAATCAAGTCTTACTGCACTAAGTGGGGTCAGCTACATGGATCAACTTTCGCCATAATGTTCTATCTAGGACCATGTTTCTATCCAAAACGTTAATCTCCTGATCTTTCTTAATAGCTTCTCTTATAATCTTTCTAGGTTTTCCTCTTCCTCTAGTTGTTTGACTTCTCTACATCTGATCGACTCTCCTTACCACATAATCTACAAGCCTAATTCTATTAATCCAGCTCAGTACTAATCCAACTGAAGTAAATATTAATCTCACAATAATAAAATACTAAACACCTCAATTAAATCATACAGTGGCTCTCCTTCATTGTGTGGCAAAAGGTGAAACTAAACCATCTATTTCAAACCTACAGAAAAATGAGGTATATTTACCTAGCCGACTCTCCAATCAAGGACAACCACAACCAATTACAAAACACAGCCAAAGACATATCTCATCATGTTTTCAAATTGCATCGCTCATAATGAACTTGTTATACCTGCTCCAAGTCTGACAATTCAAATCCTGGCAATCCCAATTCATCCAAGGCTACCAAAAACCTTTCAACATCCGTCACCTCATTCAAAGAACCACTTCCCTGAATTTAAAAACACATTACTTAGAAAAAATAGGACCAAAATAATATACCAAAAAAAAGCTCTAACTTAATTTCAGCTGAATTAAAAAACAGTGAATGTTAATGTAATACAACACAATGCAAGATATCCCATTCCCACTACCTGGAGTGAACCAGGAACCAGCTTGTCCAAAATGCTACACAATACCAATCCATCACTCAAGCATAGCCTCAATTCCTCTTCCGAAGTTTCTAAAGGCAGATTAAAGTCGGGAAGCTCGGCATTTATCCACTTAATGAAAGACACAAGCCGGCCACCCGCAAGTCCGGCAACTTTTCCACCTCCCTCCGGTTCCCACTGCATGCTCCTTTCTCAGAAACTGCAATTTCGGCAAAGCAAATGAAGAAATCAATTTCATAAAAAAATAAACTAAAATAAAAATTAAATTCCAAATTGCGTCTACATTATAACATTATAAGCTCACCAAAATTATAAATTATGAATTAATAACCAATATCAAGAAAAAATAACAAAAATAAAGAGAAAGAGAAAAGAAAAAGAACGGTGAGGAGCAGATCGGAGCGAACCTGCGTGAGAGGAGCAATGTGGGAAGAAGGTGATGGAGGAGAATGCAAACCTTGAAAGAAAGAGGGAAAAAAACCGAAAATGTTGAAATTGCAACAGAAATGGAAGAACGCGGTTACGGATCGAAACGAATTGCAGAGAAATTAGTGGAAAGAAGAAGGAAAATTAGGTGAGAGAATCGAGATTGAGAGAGAGTGTGTGAGAGTTGGTGATGAATGTGAAGAAAATCCAAGAAAGAAAAAAGGTGAAGTTTGAGCAATGGGTGTTTGTTTTGTTTTGAAAATTGAGAAAGCGTGAGGGCAGGACCAGGAATTTTGGAAATTTGGTAAAGGCTGGGTCGAATTGGATTACAAGCTAAATTAAGATATTTGAATCTTTAACTCGTTGTTAATTCAAATTTAATTTACTTTAAATGCTGTCATTCGCTTTCATTTAATTTATTTTTAAAAATATTGAAAGAAAAGTACTGTGTTTATTTCTTAATTCTTACTACTTGATAGTGACTTCTTTGTGTTTGTTATCTGCTGTTTTAAATATTGGGAGTATATTAAAAAACAGTGATTAATGTTTGTTTGATTTTTTATTTATGATGATTTTGAAATTAGTCATTTCTTTTTTAACATTCCCGCCGGCCTCTTCTTAATTCTTAATTTGGAAAAGATTGTCCTGTACTCTTTTATGACGGAGAAAAAGTTATCATATTTTCAACACTTATTTATTTATCCTTATTCATAAATTATAAATTTCAAACTTTAGAAGAAAAAAAATGAGATTACTTTTTCCACCTAAGATGTGCATATATTTATTATATCCAGAAGCAATTAAAATCACATTTCTATTTTTTCCAAAATTAATTATTCTTGTTACCAAAATTTAGAGATACACATATGGCCACCGTACATTAATATTTTTCAACTTTATGTTTAAATAGTCTTTTGATTTCTGTAAGTCGATCAATTTTTTATTTTGATATCTGTTAGTTGAGATTTTCGACGTACCTCTGTTGGCTGAAGATTTTGATGATATTGTTCGAAGCGAAGCAAGTTGGATGTTTCGATTGGAATAAAGCAAGATGTCATGTTTCGAAATGGTAGAAGCAGTGCTTCGAATGGGCATGTCAAAACTCTGAGCTTCGAGTGACAGTTATGGGAATATATTCAAAGAAGTCTCGAAATGATAACAAGGTTGTGTCCAAGAAATGAGTTCGAAACGAAGAGTGCCAAAATATTTGAAATTCAAACGCAAGCGGGATGTTCGAAATTTAAAATATATGCGCTGGAGCATTCGAAGACGCGTGGAAGCTAGAGAGGGGTATTGCTTTGCATGTTCTGAACGTGGTAGAATCTTATAGCAAGACCGTTATGGTCGAAGTAGTATAAATAGAAGTCTTAGCATTAGGATTTCGTGTGTCATATCTATTGTACAAAAATTCAGTAAACATTCAAAATACCACATGGCTAGGGAAACGAATGCACGAACAATGTACGTATGATAACACCAAGTGTTTATGATTCAATAAAACTCTTTATCATTTCCAGTTCTTTCATTTATCTTCATGTCAATATCATTCAAAAGCCTTTACATTAAAGTATTTTCATTCGAAGTCTTTTTACTGATGTCTTACATTTAAATGTTTTCTTTCCATTTCAAATCCTTTACATTTCAGAAACTTTTGTATATTTCATGTCTTTATCTTCATGCTTTTATCATTCGAATACCTTTTTCATTTAAAGTCATTTTACTGATTTCTTGCATTTAAACGCTTTCTTTATATTTCGAGTCTTTTACATTCCAGAGAATCTTTTACCTTACATGTTTTTATGCTTCGAAGTCATTTACTTGTCTTTTCTGCAGTTTTACATGTCTTTACAATTGAACTTTGTTCATGCAATTTAGTTTCGCACGCATTTACTTAATCATGTCATTAGATCTTTAATAGAGTAATCGAAGTAAGTTAAACACATACACAACATTCTAAATACCAACCATGAATATCAGTTCTATAGTGAGAATTATCCAAATGACCAATACATCCTAGGATCAATCTAGTCGATCCTGCAAGTTACCAGAGAGATTAAATAACAGTCATTAAGATTATTTGATAGTTTGGAGGACTAGCGGTTGTTTACCAGAAATCACTGTAAACAACCTCAAACTTTAACATATCAAGAAGGGATTTAAAGAAACACTTAACAGAATATGGATGATTTCATTGATGATTTTTTATATGCAAGTTGGAAGAGTTTTTCGACATGATTATTCGAAGAGGATATGTCAAAATCCTATGTACAACGACATTTAGGACTTATCTACATCTGAGGGACATGTGGAAGCAAGCAAGTTAAAGACTAAACACATACAAACAAAGACGTGTCAATTCCTAGAGCAAGGATCGTTCGATACAGTTATATTTAGTTTTTCAGTATAAATAAGGATTCCTGTTATTATATTTTAGTGTGTTGAAATTACTGCAAAACTCAAAATACTTAAAGTATACGAGCGAAGTGACAAAAGAGTTTGATCGAGTGCAATGTATATATGCAAACCTCGTCTTTTATTAATGCAAAGCATTTTACATTAAACTATTTTTCTGCATTTATTTTAAGTTCTTCGACCACTGTTGTGATATGGTGGGAGAACTGACTTATAGTTTTTGCGTTTGATCGCAAATATTGCGGTTAGCAAGAGTCGTCACCGACTTTTCTTTTATCCAAAAGGAAAGGTGAAAAAGCACAGGAAAGACCTTTGAGATTGTTTCTTGAGTTCGGGGTATAGATTATGAAAAGGGAATGTACTAGCCTCCTTTTCATCCATGGTTTTCCATGGGCTCTTAGTTACTTGCTAGATCACTTGCTTTTGTTTGAAATTGTGTTTTGTGTGGTTTTTGAAAGTGTTTTTGTACAAGAGGCCATTGTTTAGGCAATCTTTGTAATGATTCTCGTTCGTAAGAATGTATACAAAGATGTTGATCTTTTTGAAAATGTTTTCAATGTTTGTAAGAAGTTGGGAAATGTGTGTGTTTGTTTTGAAAATAGCAAGGATATTTGTTTTGAAATGGAGCAAGTAATTAAGAGCAATCTACCTACCCAAAATGTCTTTCATGTTCATTTTCTTTCCCTTTGACATTGTTGTCTTACCATTGATTTAGTAAGCAACCTTATCTTTGGATATAAACGGGACGGGCGTGGGTCATCGTATAGCCATGATTAGCAATGTTGCAAAGTATCTTAACATTTTTTGAGGGACTAAGATCATTTTTGTAAGGCAACTTTGAATAGCGTCATCGAGGGACTATGATCTTGTATTTGTTTGTTTTTGCTAAGACACCTTACATGCGTAATATGGCCATTTTGTATAAGGCAACCAAGTGGAGTAACCCTAGGGGTGTTTGTGTGCAAGTGTGTCATTTTCATGCTTGATTTTGTCTTGAATTAGGGTTTTCTATTTGATTAATTTTTATCTTCCCATACAAACCCTAATTACTAGCATATTATGTAAAAGCGATAAATTGCGGAATTTGAAGTTGCTACGCTATTACAACATTTGTGGGAGGGGTATACAATTTAAGAATGGGGATTGCAATAATATAAACCTAATTAATCTATTACAACCAAATTGAATATGTACAAATATTAGAATAAATAATGTACAAGATGAATTAAATATGCAAAGATGTGTAAATGCAAATAAGATTTTTGTTTGGTTTTTTTATATGGAAAAGCTTTAACCTAAAACCTAATTAGAAAATAAGTAAATCAAGATTAACTTCAATTAATTAAGGAAAGGAATTATTTAAGAAAAGGTTTTTAAATAAACCCTAATTCTATTTGATTAAAAGAAAATAAGTTTCTTTATGAAAAAAAGTATTTTTTTGTATTTTTTGTCTTGAAAATAATATATGACATTATGAGGTATTTTTGGTCCTTTTTTATATTAAAATAAATATTTAATGGATATAAAGAAATAAAAATATTAAACTAGTTATAATTTTATTTACAAAGTTTATTTAACAAAAATAGATAATATATAACTAAAATAAAAATATTTTATGTGAGAAAAATAAAATAAAACAAGCCAAAATATAAGTCTATCATTTTTTATATTTTTATGATTTTTAATATTAAGAAAAAATATATTTAAGGAAATAAAATAAAAATGAAATGAATAAATAAAATGATATGGGCCAGGGGTGTCATAAGCAAATGGGATGCAGCATGTTAGCAAAAAAAAGCCCAAGAATTGGAGGCCCAGCGCTGCAAAGGGACAAAAAAATGAAAAAATGTGAGAAAATGCAAAAGGCAGCACGTTGAGGCTCAAACCCGTGACCTCTAGCATTTATGTACGCTGCCTTACCACTAGGGTGGTTGTACATCCGTTTATATAAACACAAACATAAATATATATTAGAAAATGCCCCCTGAAGGCAACTTCATCTTCAACCTTGAGCCATGGTTGGATCACCTGTATCTTTTTCATTTCTCCATAAAAATGGAAAGTTCAAACATGAAAGTTATAGTGTTTCTTTCCACGAGTTCAACCATATAATTTATGTATACTAAAAGTCAAAGATAAGATCTAATTTTACTGGCCCTAATTTGAAACCTAATTTTTGCAGAAATTTCAAATCCAAAATTCTCTATGCACAGTTAATATAAATGAAAACTATGAACATGGTTAACTTTAGAGTAAGGATATCTATATTTTGCTTTCATAAATCAGGACCAAATGATGTTTGTATGAAGAGATAGAAGTTTGAGTTTTTACCTCTTGCAGCTGGG